GGCCAGCCCTCTGTTTGTCCCCCAGACGTCTTCCAACAAGCGACTCATGTCCAGCCCTCCACCCTCGGGACACAGGGCACCATCGGCTGCCACGTAGGAAGGCGGGGAGGGGGGGAGCCATGCCCAGAGCAGCCCGGCTCCGCCACCGCGCTCCACAGGCCGGACTGAGGCCCGCGGGCGTCCGTCTAGCGTCACACAAGCTTCCCTCCACCCCAGCGGCAGGTTCCCGAGCCATGTTCACGGCCCCCGGAGTCGCCGAGACCACCTGCTCGCCCTGCGCCGTGGCCCACCCCGTGAGAGCTGGTCCCTAAATCTCCAGCTAACCGCCACCCCCCTCTGGCAGCCTTCCTGGGAAGCTGGCTTCTGCACAACCCCAGAAATCGGTTCCCACTGCGGGCAGCTGATATTAAATTAGCCGGAACGAGGCGTGGCGGGGAGGAAGCGTTCGGAGAGACGGCTGATGGCTTCACGGGATCTGAGGGGCCTCTTCTCTGCTGACGCCGCTGCAAGCCTCCCCTCCCTCCTCCCATTTGGACTCGGGGGCGTCTGCAAGCCCAGAGCTGGGGCCTGGGGATGTGGGCCCAGGAACCAGCAGGGCGGCCCATAGGGCGGCCGGAGATGCCAAGTCCTGGGAAAAGAAGAGGCATGTCTAGGAGACAAAAGCAAAACTGTCAGCAGATGAATACGAAGTTTCCGGATCAGGGTCACTTTCCTTGCTCCCAATGCCCCACAGGGGTCCCGAAAAGCCCTGCGAAGGAGGTGAAGACTCGGGGTCAGCCGTTTGCGGTATTGATTACGGAAAGGGACGTTCACACGGGCACAAATATGCAGGAGGCTGCCCGAGGCCGCGGATCCCTCCTCCCACGCGGGCGGAGCTGCCGGGCTCCAAGCGGGCTGAGGAAGTTCGCGCTCGCCCAGAGCCCGAATCCAGAAGCTCCTAAACACGGGCTCGCAGGCCGCACACGGGGGGCCGGGGCGGCTGGGGTGCGGCCCCGGTGAGCGAGGAGGTGACCCCGGGCCCACGGCACACGGGGCGGTCGTAATAACGAGCGAGCCCATCGGCTGGGGTTCGGCTGGGATCCCAAAGCGCCGTCAGTGTGGGGACCTTGGGGAAAGTTTCTCCAGGGGACTTGCCGGAGGTGCGGGCAGGACGGCAGTGAACCCGTGGGGGCTGGCCCCCCAGACTGCAGCTGTCAGGGGCCCGCACCAGCCCCAGAACGAGGGGGTCATGGTTACTGGAGCCCCAAGTACAGTGGGTCGGCGGGAGCACGGAGTGGAGGTCGGAGGTCACAGCGGGAGAGCCGCAGAGACGCCTGCCCGCCCGCGTCCTGTGCCGGAGTCCCGGCCACGCGTGGGTTCCCAGGGGGGACCCCAGGCTCCAGCAGTGCCCTGGGGCCAGTCTGCAGGGGTGACCACGCCCTCGTCCGGGCTTACCCACCGCACAGCCCGGCCACCCGGCCAGGAGGAGCTTCCGCTGGATGAGACACGGACCCGGGGGCCCCGGCATCACTGGTCAGCAGTCGCTCCCGGCGTGGCCCTGGCCAGTGTCAGATGTGGACATCATCAGGCCCTGCCCTCACACGCTGACTTCTCCAGGCCCACTGCACGGAAACGCAGGGCCAGCAGCAGCCAATATGGCAACCGAGCAAATTAGGAAAAGCTGTGCCTTCCTCGAGACACTTCCCTGCCATCTGCTGGGCACTTGCGGTGACTACAAGTACCTAAGAGGACGAGGATGTAAACAGGGGCCCCTGGATTGTGCAGTGCACAACGTGCACAACTGTGAAGGGCAGCCCGGTGGCCTTTCACAGAGCCCCATCACAACCGAACGATGGTGATGATTGGTCTGTTGTCTGTCTCCCTGGGCCCCACCACCCACGCCCGCCAGCAAAGGCCACCAGGAGGGCGCCTCGGCTTGAACACACTAGGCTTACGCACTAACACAGTGAGAGAGCACAGAAGAGAACACACTGTCGGATCGTGCTCATATGAAGCTCGGGAAGGAGTCTAATTTGTAGTGTGTGGGACCGGAGCGGGACGGGGTGCGGGGCCCTCCTTCCCTCCCTCCCGGGGCGCCCGGTCAGTGTCGGCAAGTGTCCCCGTCCCTGGTTCTGTCTGTGACTACTGCAGCCACCTCGGATACGCCCCTCCTCGTCTGCGAGCCTCAGTTTCTCCATCCACAAAACAAGGGCTTGGGCTGACCACTTCTGAGGGTCCTTGCGTGTGAGGACTGAGATGTTTCCCGTGAACAAATGCTCCGGCTCGGCCGATGCGCCTGAGCCCCCGTCCGCGGCGGGCATTGTCCTCACAGCTGCACGGCGCCCACCCAAACAGGCAGAGGGCGCCGCCCGCCCGAGATCGACACCGTCCGCAGAGGCCGCTGGGGAGAGACCGGGGCCCCAGTCGTCCTCCGACGGGGTCTTTATTGGCGGCGAGAGGCAGAGCGAGAGTCTTTGCTCATCAGATTCTCGGCGGACGAGGACCTGAAGTCAGGAGCTCTGCACAGGGTCAGTGGCCGTCACGAAGACGAGGCTTTGCCTGACCTTCCAGGGGCGCCCGCAGCGGGCAGGGTCGGGGAAGCAGGCCCCCCACACCGCGTGGGCGAGGCGCTCACTACGGCCCCCCGCGCTTGGACCATCCGGTGCAGGCGAGACTGGAGACCGTCTTTCCCCAAAGATGCCCGTGGCCTAATCCCCAGAACCCGTGAACAGGTCCCCTGTTGAGGCAGAGGGACCTGCCGTGTGACCCAGCTAAGGGCGCTGTGCGGGGAGACCACGCTGGGTGGCCAGCAGGCCAGCGCATTCACAAGGGTGCTGGCAGGAGGGAGACCGGAGGCGCAGACAGGCCGGGGGACCCGATGCCCGCCCGTGGGGTGCACAGAGGCGGGAAGGCGTCTGCCACCGGCTTGAACCCGGGGGCCTCCGGCCCGGATGTTCGGGGGCCTCCAGAAGCTGCAGACGGCGGGGAAGCCAGCGTAGGGGCCAGAGGCCAGGGTGGGGCAGCCGCGTGCTGCGGGGGCCCGGGTCAGCCCCCCCCACCCCGCACTAGCCAGATGGGGTGTGAGATGCCATGGTTCCTGAACAGTGTCCTGTTGTCCCGCCCTTGGCCTTTGGATGGTAGTAACAATAGGACGAGGTGAGCCTGCTCTCTCTCGCTCTCTCTCTCTCTCTCTCTCTCTCTCTCTCTCTCTCGTGCACACACACACACACACACACGCACACCGGTAAGAAGCTTGCCTGGCAGGGCAGACATCACTGGGGAGAAGTGCGGGGAGGCTCAGAGAGCGGGGCCTCCAGGGGGAGAGGCCGTTCATGCCTGAGGCTGTCACAGGCACGGGACCCTTGTGTCCACCATAAAAAAAGGCAGGCGGAAAGGCTGGGGGCCGGCGGGGCTGGGAGAGAGCAGACCTAGAAAGATGTGAGTGGAAATGTGGCTGATCTTAATCCGCTGGATGGTGTGGCCGGAGGAACCCCAGTGGACCCTGTGACGAGGGGAGGGGTCTCCAGCTGCGCGGGTCCATCCCTGCCTGGAGCACTAACACCAGAACCGCCCTCGGTGTCCCCACCCTGCCCCCTTCTCTCTTGGTCTTGCAAAGGTCCTGGGGCATCGGGAGGGGAGATGCTCACAGGGGACCAGGCAGGGTCATGGAACACATTCGGGCATCAGCCCTGCTGAGGGGACTTCAGATGGGGGGAGGTCCTCGGGGACCCCAGAAAAGAGGACAGCTGGAGGGAAGGCACACACAGGAAACGAGAAGGACCACGGGGGCTGGGAGTCCTCAGGCCGTAGCTCCTGGTCCTCAGACAGGCTCTGCATCTGCCTCTGAGCCACACTGGAACCTCTGCTCGCCCAGCCTCGCAGGGCCGTCGGGAGGCAGGTGACCGTCCCACGCCAGCTTCCCCAGCTCACAGCATCCCCTTGCTCTGACCTCCTCCCCTCGGGCCTTGCTGGCCATCCTCCCGGGTGGCCCTTAGCCGTGAGCAGAACCTGCCAAACATCAACCCTCTTTCCTCCGCGGTGGGAGGACTGACACCTCAAAACTCCTGGTGCCTGAAGGGGGTAAGGAGAGAGAAAAGAAAACATCACAATGTGCGTGGCCACTCCCGCCACCAGGAACAGCCTCATTCTGGTGGCCCTGGGGGCTGTGGATTTGGAACCACAGAAAAAGAACTGTGATCACAGTGCCACGTGGGGCCTGTGGGGAAACTTACACTGTTTATTGGTTTTTTCCTTTTAGAGTCAGCCCTCGGACAAAGCACAAAAGAATTTTGGCTACAGACGGAGCCTGTGTGTTAACAGCGGGGAGACAGGGAGAAGTAAAGTTCCAGCGGTCGCCCTGCGCGGAAGAGAGTGGTGGGGACTCGAGAGAGCGTTCTAGAGGAAATCTATAAAGCTACAAAAATAACCAAGGAGAGGCACGGGAGGCAAAGGAGGACAAGGGAAGCAGGGGAGGCCAGGGAGGTCAGAGGAAGCAGGGGAGGCCAGGGGTTGCCAGGGGAGGCAAGGAGAGGCAGGGAGGCCAGGGGAGGCCAGAGGAGGCAGGGGAGGCCAGGGAGGCCAGAGGAAGCTGGGGAGACTAGGGGAGGTCAGGGAGGCAGGGAGGCCAGGGGAGGCCAGGGGAGGCCGGGGAGGCCAGGGGAGGCAGGGGAGGCAGGGCAGGCAGGGGAGGCCAGGGGAGGCAGGGGAGACTAGGGGAGGTCAGGGAGGCAGGGAGGCCAGGGGAGGCCAGGGGAGGCCAGAGAAGGCAGGGGAGGCCAGGGAGGCCAGAGGAAGCTGGGGAGACTAGGGGAGGTCAGGGAGGCAGGGAGGCCAGGGGAGGCAGGGGAGGCCAGGGGAGGCCAGAGAAGGCAGGGGAGGCCAGGGAGGCTAGAGGAAGCTGGGGAGACTAGGGGAGGTCAGGGAGGCAGGGCAGGCAGGGAGGCCAGGGGAGGCCAGGGGAGGCCGGGGAGGCCAGGGGAGGCAGCGGAGGCAGGGGAGGCAGGGGAGGCCTATTCTGCACCCTAGCCCAGCATGGTCCGGCATCGGAGCTGCTCTTCCTCCCGCTTCTCCTCCATGCGATTTTCCAAAAGCCTCAGCTCCCTGCGCACCGCCTTCCCCATGGATGGCTCCAGCTCCAGCACTTTCTGGAGGTCCGCCCTGGCCTCCGCCTCGTTCCACACCTCCGCGTGAGCCCGGGCCCGCACGTAGTAGGCCTTCGCGATCCCTGAGGGGAGGATCAGACTGCACCAGCTGAGCCCCTGGGAGGCGCGGCCTCAGAAGCTCACAAAACTCTTAACCTTGACCATGATCCTTAACCTCTCTGCGCCCCCTGAGCCGCCTCCTCGGCTGTAAATGGAGGTGATAACAGCCACAGCAGGACCTACCCCCCTCCCTGTGGGGACCCTGCCGGGGCCGCGGAGCAAACCTAAATCCATAACTTCCCTCCGGTTTCGTAGGCTCCCTGCATTGCGGGCTCCAGGCCCCCGTCCCCGGCACCGAAGGAGGTGAGGAGTGCAGGGAACCCCGTGCCTGGCTCCTGGCACACAGCCGGAGTGCGGTGTCAGCAGCCCCCCGCCCCCGCCCATGTGTGTGGCGCGCACCTGGGTGGAGCCTCAGGATGTCGCTGGCATGCTCCAGCACCTCGTAGTACTCCTCCTTCTTCAGCAAACACTGACAGTAGTTCACGATCAGGGTGTTGGTCATTTTCTCCAGCTTCAGCCACTGCGCCTCCCAGGGCTTCTCCTGCAGGGGTCGGGGGGCACGCCTGCCTGCCGTGAGCTGGGCCGCCCCAACCCCAACGCTGCCCCCGGCCTGCGCCGGCCCCGTGGGCAGCCCCCCACCTTGGTCTGCAGGTTCCTCAGGCAGACGATGGCCTCCTGGTACTTGCTGGAGGCTTCCTCGTAGCGGCCCAGCTTGAAGAGCCGGTTCCCCTCCCCGTGGAGGATGGGCACCGCCTGCATCTTCTCCTCGTTGCTCAGGCTCCACGTCTCCCTCTGGTACTCACTCGGGGCCTCGACCTGGCCCGAGAGCGGCAGGCGGGTGAGGCGGGGACCCCGGGAACCTGCGTCCCCGCAGCTGGCCACATCCACATACAAAGGGGACGGAAGCCACGGGGCCCCGCCTTAAATGAGCACCTTTGTGCAAGTTAGGAATAGTCAGCCCTTTGTCAACACTTGACTTCCAATATTCAGAAGACTGTCTCCATACTCATTTGGCTAGAACAAGACACTTTACTGCCATCTGCTGGAAAATTGTCATCAGAAAAGTTCAGATCTGCAAGGTCTATAATGAGCACCTCAGAGGTGAGGCCCTTGTGCAGTGCACAAACCGCACAACAGTCCTAGCAGGCCCACAAAGGCCCTTTTGTGACACAATCCTCTTATTTGTTCCCCCATGTAGCCCTCGGGCTGAACCTCATCCTTGGCCATAAGCTGAGTCCCCACCCGGGCTGGACCTTCTCCCTCCACCCCACAAACATGGCTGTGGTTCACGAGCCCTCTCGGGCTCTAGAGAGAAAGCGGGTGACGCCCAGCGACCAGCGAGGCGGGGCTCCCCGCGCGCTCCCTGAGGCTGGGACAGCGCTCCGCCCGCCCCATCCCCAGGGCACACCTGCAACAGCTCGATCACGAAGATCAGAGGCTGCGGCTCCTTCTGCAGCTCGTCCAGGTCCTCGTAGCCCAGTGTGTGGTAGGCGAACATGTTGGCCAGCCCACACGTGTGTACGTGCCACTCCGTGGGGTCCTTGCCCTCCGCCACCTGCCGCAGGCTCCGGGACAGGATGGGGTAGACCCCTGTGTGCTGGGAGGAAGGACGGCCGATGGCGTCTGGCCTGTGTGCTCGGAGCTAGCCGGGCCACACGGAGCCCCGCTCTGAGTCCTGCCTCAGCCACCCCTGTCCCGTGGTTGTTCCTGCTGATTGCCCCCAACATGCCCCCACAAATAACCGCGCTGCGCCGTGTTCCAGGCCGACTGCTCTACCAGGTCCTCCTGTTAGCTCCTTCCATCCTTCAGATGCCCCAGAGAGGGAGGCACTTATCCCCCTTCTGTAGGTGGGGACACTGGAGCCCAGAGACATTAAGTAACTTGCTTAAGGTCACACAGCTAGGAAATGACGGAGCCAGGATTCACGCCCGGCTCCAGAGGACACGCTCTCATCTCAGGGCCATGCTGCCTCTTGCTGGCCCTTGTGGTCAGCCCTGACCTATTTCTCTCCCAGAGAGACCTGAGCCCGTGGGTCGGCGACCTGCAGGGAGGGAAGTGTGGGGAGTAGGGGAGGGAGCAGGCCCCACGGGCCAGGGGCCAGGGGCCGGATCGGCAGCCCCAAGGTGCTGCTGAATAGCAGTGAGCCTGGGCACCTGTCTGAGCTCCGGTCCCCTCGGCCGTACCTGTGGTCGTGGAGCTGGGTTCGCGGGTTAGAGGTGGACTGGTAGAGGCCCAGCTCATCCCAGCCTCCCCCTGCACCGGGCTCGGGGCTTGCCGCCCTCGGGGTGGAGGAGGGCTGGGAAAACCAGCCCCTTGGGCCTCAGCTTGCCCATCTGTGAGCTGTCTCTGAGAGCCCCCCTCTGCGTGGACGGGGTTCAGAAACGGCCCATTTCAGGCACCCTCACGGCAGCTCCAGGACCTGAAGGGGCGGAAACAGTTCAGCTTGTCCTCCAAGTCACCAGTGCGGGGATGAAGGTCAGGCCTCCCAGCCTCCCCCCACCCCCCTGCAGCTGGGATTAGCCCAGAAAGCCCTGCAGAGGCTCCTCTGTGAGAGAGGCCGCCAGCTGGTAGTTAATCCCGCCGGGATCCAGGCTGACCGGCGGCAGGGAGACGCCCAGCTGCAACTGGCCGAGGGAGAGGCCCCTCCTGGCCCTACAGGCGGCCCCAGCTCCCAGGCCCCGCGTCCCCGGCAAGTGCACTGAGCAATCGGGCCCCAAGGCCGGGTGGCTGCCTGGGCAGGACCTCGGGTAAAGACTTGTCCCATGAGACACCCACACCCTAGCTCTAGTAGAGCCTCAGGGCAGCACGGTGGGCTGGGGGTGCCGCCAGGAGCCCAAAAAAATCCAGGAAGGAGGAGGAAGGCCAGAAGAAGGTCCCGAGTCCTGTGCCCAGCCGGGTGGCACCTCCTTGGAGGGAGGGAGCAAGGAGGACTCCAGACTGTGTCAGTCTGGAGGCCAGCTTGCCCGGCTGGGGGCCGCAGAGCAGCCAGAACTACACGTGGGGCTCTGTGGAGCTCGCCTCCAGCGCTGGGGACGGAGACCAGGCCTGTGGCCGAGGCAGGGGGCCCCGGGACCCCCACACCGAGTGTCCTGTCTGCAGGGCTGTCTACACCGGAGGCTGCAAGCTGGTGAGCCATGGGCCAAATTCAGCTCGCAGATTGGTTTTGTCTTACTCCTCACCTCGTGGAGCCGTTATGACTAGTTCACCAACATTCAGATGTTGAGGGAGCTCGCATGCTCATGAAGACTTCCGGCTCAGCTTAAGAACTCAGAATGGCCAGCCGTCAGGCCTGCCCCTTTCACAAGGCGACCATCCAGTCGGAGCTGAGGACTGGCTGCCCCATTTGGATGAGGCAGATGATCTGCAGTCAGCCAGAGCTCCTGGCTCCTCGAGGAATCTGAGTTTGCAACCCGTGGCCTCACAATCCCGGGCCCCATCGCAAAAGTCCCACACAGAGACCAGCGTCCTGTCGAGGGTGGGGCCGTGGCAGAAGCTCCCAGCTCCTCACTGGCCCTGCCTCCCTGGTGTAGGGGCAGGGGAGGGAGGGAGCAAGCCCCCTGCTCTTCAGAGTGATCCAATGAGGACTGTCCAGGAGGAGGGCTCTGCAGGGAGTGATGAGCAGCACTGCTGGGGGAAAGCCAAGCCCTCCTAAGTCCTCTGTCAAACAAAATGATCATCCCACTGACTGCTGCCGTCTTTCTAAAACTCAGATTCTTAAATGGAGAGATGCCCCCGGAGGGGAAAGGGGCTAAGCAAATTAAGCATGCCAAACCTTTTCACACTTCCTGGCCTGGATGCCACCCGCTCCCTACGTGCAGACCTGGTGAACTCCTGTGCATCCTTCAATACCCAGTTTGATGTCATCTTGGAGATGTTCCCCCAAGACCCTAAAGAATTAGTTGCCCATCTCCTGTGGCCCCGAAGCAGTCTGCCCCTCACTTGCTTATGTCATGGGACTGGCTGCCCTGCCTCGAAATTGCTCGAATGTTCACTCCTCCTCCAAGAACTGAGGTTCCTTGAGGGGCAGAACTTGGTCTGTTTCATTCCTAACACACAGCAGAGTCCAAAGCTGGTGCCCAGTGAACGTTTTCAGATAGATAGGCACAGACAGACCACGATGGGTGGATGCTTAGTGAGGTGGGCAGTGCCCTCCTGTGACTGTGGCCAAAAGGACGCAGACGGCACATGACACACAGCCGTGCTCACTTTAGGGGAAGCTCTGCGGACAACAAATCAATCAGCCAATCCAGGATTTATTGGCAACCCTCCATGCACTCAGCTCTCCTGCGTTAGCGAACATGCATCCTATGGAGGCAGGGCCCTCGCTGGTGGCCAAGCCTTGTCTACCCTGCGGCCTGAATGACAGGCGCGCGTGGGTCTAAAACGTGCAGGGCATCCTCACTGTAAGCAAAGATATTACTTTAGATAGATATTTTAAACTATGTGAAGCCGCAAAAAAGCCCATTTTCTGAAGACTTGGCTTGTTAAAAACAAAACACCTTTAACATCTTTCTAAGCACCAGGACGAAGAACAACACAGATGCTGGTGGGCAAAGAAAAGTCGCTCACCTGGTATTTGCCAGGTGAGTCAAGAAATAAGGGACAAGGCAGGCGGGCGCCCCTAGCGGTAGAGAACGGAACTGCAGCCTGGCTCCCCACTATGATGGGCAGCCGCCCCGGATGGGCAGTGAGGGGACCGGGGATCCCACCCTGACCGTGTCCCTTAACTTGTCTGACCCAGAGCAAGTCACTTTCCTTCTCTGCCTCTTACGCTTCCTCATCAGCAAAACGGGGGAGTCTGTCTCTGAAATTCTGCAAGCACTTTTCAATCGCCCAGTACTCTGACTTTTCTTAGCCACCACCACGTCCTGTAATCCCCTCAACAGCCGCTTAGCGTACGGTTTCCCTTATTTATAGATGAACGAAATAGAGTGCCGGATAGAGAAAGGACTTCCCTGGGGCCACCCAGCCAAGTGACAGAGCAGAGCTCAAACTCAGATCTCTCTGTCTCTCCCAAATTGCTCCTTTGAAAGGTCAGCGGTGCCCGATGAAGGGATGGGTCTGAGCATCCGCCATCAATGGCTGGTGGGTCCATTAGGTGAAAGCCAAGGGGGAGCTTCGTAATGGCTGGATCAGGCTGGCGGCATCTCAACCTGTCAGCCGATCACGGTAACAAGACGCCTCCCGGCAGGAGAGGCCAGCAGACAGGGAAGGCTGCCTAGTGGGAAGCATGCAGCACAATTTCTAGAAACTGTGGGGACAGAGGAACATGGCAGACAATCCCATGGCAAAGCAACCAGCAAAATCAGAATGTGGGGACTTCTGTAGGACAAGTGATCCAATTCCTTCAACAAATCCATGTCAAGGGAAAAACAGGGAAGGAAACAGAGCCCCGAGACACGCACCCACAAAGCCCTGTGCACAGATTTGTTTGGGTCCAGACTGGAACAAACCAACCACAAAGAGTAAATGGGGTGACGACTGGAGAAATTTGAACAGTACCAGAGGGTAATTGGCGTGAAGGAATTACTGGGGTTTAAAAAAAATGTAATAATGATATTGAGGTGATGTTACTTTGATATCCTTTTTACAGATACAAATTTTAGTACTTTTAGATGTAACGGTAGGGAGTCTGGAGCGTGAATTAACCTTGCGGGATAAGGAAGAGCAGGGGACAGGGGTAGAGGAAGCCAGCCTGGCTGCGGTCCACGGTGGCTGGCGTGGGGGGTGGGTGCGGAGGACTTCTCTGCACTTTCTGTCGACTTCTGTATATGTTTGAAAGTTTCCATAAGAAATGTTTGTTTAGGGCTCCTGGGTGGCTCAGTCGTCAAGCATCTGCCTTCGGCTCAGGTCATGATCCCAGGGTCCTGGGATCGAATCCCACATCGGGCTCCCTGCTCACTGGGGAATCTGCTCCTCCTTCTACCCCTCCCCCCAGCTTGGGCTTGTGCGCGCGCGCTCTCTCTCTCTCTCTCGCAAAAATAAATAAATAAAATATTTTTAAAAAAAGAAATGTTTGTTTAAACGTTCTGTGGCCCATTTTTATCTGGGCCACAGAATGAGGAGGCCATCCCAGGAGGGCCACAGATTTGCAAATAGTTTTAGACGGCTCACGGAAGCCGGGAGGAGGGTGGGAAAGTGACCAGTGGCCAAAAGTGCCCAGGATCCGGTAATCGTGTGTGGGCACGGCCCTGGTGCCACGTCATCCCGGCCAGCCACGACACCGACGGTCACTCTGGGGGCTTGTGGTTTTGGGTGACTCCCCTCCACGTGCCCAGTGGCAGAGGGAGAGGGTGCAGGGTTTTGCTTTCACCCCACTTGGCTGAAAGGCAGCAGCCCCGCAAAGGGGCGGGCAAGCCCTGCAGGCGGCGTGGGCGGCGTGGGCGGGCGTGGCCTACTTACGATGGAGTCACACCAGAACTCAGCCACCTCGCCTCGCCGCATGGACGTCAACAGTACTTCCCAGACCTCGAGCTTGAACATGTTCCCGAGGATAATGTGCATGGGGTGGCCCACGCGCTTGCTGTCATCTATCACCGTCCGCTCCTCGTCGCATTTCATGGTGCGGAAGTGAAAGATCACCTGGTCAGCAAGAGGGGGGACACTGGTCTTAAACACAACCTCCCACTGTCGCTCACGCGGCTGTCCTCGGGGCTCCACTCGCCCCACCCCTGCCAGATGCCCAGACCCCACAGCTACCCCCCCGCTGCCTGCACTCGCCGGGGCTGGGAACCCCCCCTGCCCAGAGGACCCCGTCCCACTGCCTGGAAGCTCTGTGGGTCCGGAGGGCCTTGCTTACAGAAGCCCTGGATCTGGGGCCACAGACCCCGCCATGCCACCGTCATCCAGGGAAGCCCACCAGAGATTTGTGGACAAAACCGTGAACCCTGAGGGCCTCTCTTTTCAACTCAACATCTGGGGCTCCAGAAAATTCCCAAAGCCCTTCCCCCAGCCCACGCCAGAATTTAATTTGCCAGTATCGAAAACGTCCAGCGAGTGGGCACCAATTCCGAGTTTCCCAGAAGCTCAGGGGTTGATAATTCTGGGAAGGGCCCTCCTGGCCCTGTTTTGGCAAAGCCGAAAGAGGCACAGCAGGAATGCAGAAGGCTGCCGTGGGGGGCCCCGTCTGGTACGGGGAGAGCAGGCCCACTCACCCGGGACCCCGTGATGAAGTTTGGGAGCTCCCCTGCGCCTCCATGCAGAATGGTTTTCTTGACCCCTTCCACGTTCAGGAGCAGAGCGGCATCCATGGCTCCCGGCCCAGGGAGGTGTCGGGCTCAGGCTGAGATAATCTCCCAGGAGGAAGACACCCAGACCCCGGGATTGGCCCTGCCCCGGGGGCGGGTGTGAGCCAGGAGTAAGCCGGGCGGCGCCTAGCGCCTGCTCCTCAGGGTGATGTGAGGCCCCCACCTGACACCCACCTTTGGTTTTCTCCCATCCCACGAAGAAAGCAGCCCGAGTGTTCTCAGAGAAGACGGGGAGAGGGTGTGGCAGGAAAGAGGCCTCAGGCCAGCCAAGGGGAACAGGACCCGGTGTCCGTGCCAAGGCCCTGTGGTCTCTACGGTCCCTGCCTTCCCTCTTGCCTCTTTCCTCCTCCTCTCCCCCCAAACTCTATGCAGGAGAGGATGTGATCCTGGGGGGTGGGGAAACCAGGTTTCTGGCCTGGGGGGCTCTAAAACGGGTAAGAGAAGGGGCAGGTTTGGGAAAAGTTAAGGGCGCCCCCCAGCCCCACTCCAGCCCCCACTCCAGGTCCTGGAGGTGGGGAGCAGGGCTCTCTCTTCCCCGTTGGAGGGTCTCATTCCTCATCCCTGTGCCCTGGGTCCCCGGGAGAACTCAGTCCCTGCACCTGGGATCCCCTTTCTGGCCTCCGTGACAGGTGGCCTGAAGATGTGGTGTCTGGCGCCACCTTGTGGCCAGTGGAAGCTGATGTGCTCGGGCTCCCAGGGTCCTTCCTCTGGGTGACCCCAGACTGAGAGCGGGAAGGGACAGGGGCGCTGCAGAGAGGGATGGAACACTGGATTGTCAGGAGCCACAGAGAGCCGCTGACCCCACCTCTCATTTCCTGACCTGCAGCCTTGGGTGTCTGCCACCCTCCTTAACTCCATCCTCCCCCCGAAACGTGAAGATCCATCTCCCCTGCCTCTCTCCCCTGGAGCAGCAAGTGGGACCCCAAACCCAGCCCCCCAGATTCTCCCACGAAGAACCACTGGCATAGAGGAGACCAAGCCTGAGCGCCCAAACCCAGACTGGGGCAGCTGGATCAGGCCCCTCCAGGCCCCCTCCCGGGGTGCTCAGACCCCCAAGGGCCCAGATCCAGCCCTCCCTGCAGGCAGGGGGTTCGGGTGCCGGGGTCCTGGGGTCCTTCTCCTCTGTCCCGCCCCTCCCTAGCCACACAGCAACCTAGAAAGGTCCGAACGCATAGGGAGCAAGACGGGAGGTCAGATGCTGAAAGTACAAAGGGAAATAAAAGTGATTACCATGAAAGTCGGGGGAGGGAGAGATGGAGGCAGGACCCAGGGGTGGGGGTGGGGGGCTGCTTCTGGGGTCCTGGCAGTGCTGTCCCCTCCCCCCATGAGGGTGGTGTGGCTGTTGGCTTTGTATGTGTGCATCATGCTAGACGACTGATTTCTTGATGTAATCCGTGGTGGAAGAGAAAGCTGACTGATCGCTCTGCTCTAGAGGGTGGAGAGGGTCGAGAGGCACGGGGGACGGCGGGGCAGATCAGATAGATCTGAGCCCCCGGTAGGCAGGGGTGGGAGTGGGGTTGGGGGGCGCTTGTTGAAACGGAGGCCAGAAGAAGGAGGTGTTCAGGCCACAGCCTCCGGACGGGCCCCCAGACTAACCTCCTAAGGGGCTTCAGGGAGAGGCAAGTCTAATAACCCCACCCCTCTTAAAACCCATCAAAGGCTTTCTGCCACTCTCAGGAATAGCCCAGGCTCCTTCCCCGCAGTGGATCAACCCCTGCCCCAGGCTGCCTGCCCCAGGGGGCGGGCCCTCAGTCCTCCCTCTGGCCTAGAAGCAGGTGGTGCCCAGGCCCCTACCCCGGCCTTGGCAGGCCCTTGTGTTGGAAAGCCTCGCCACCCCCCTCCACCCTGCACTTTGTCCCCTAGCTCCTCCCCTAAAACCCCCGCATGCCTGGGGGAGCCTGCGCTGCCCCCACTCACACGGGGTTCCCCACGCCCCTTCCTCCCCTTCCTCACCCCGAGCACGCCTCACTCGTGGCGTCTGGCACCGTGTAGTGTCTGCTTCTTCCAGCACCGACCATTCTAGGAGGTCACGGGAACTGGCAGGAAATTCTGCGGCTGGATAGAGAGCCCCGCCCAGGACAGGGCAGGGCTGGGGCCCCTCCTCCTCTCCTCCTCCACCCTCCTCTCCAAGAGAGGCACAGGTGGGGCTGGACCCCCCAAAGCCTCCGCCTGGGACTGGCTTTGTCTCCTTCCGCAGAGCCCCTGTCCCCTCCTGCAACCCCTCCACTAGGAGCCTGCCCCCTTCAGCACACCCCCTCTCCTTCCCCCGCCTGGCCTCTGAATGAGAGCCTCTCATTCAGAAGAAAACGTTTCTTCCTCCCCTCGCTGCCACAGACACCGCTGTCCCTTCACCTGGGCTGCCGGGGACGTTCTGAGGGAGGGGGTGCAAAGCCCCACGTGGGCAGGGGACCCCGTCAAGCATCGCTCCATTCACGCCTGACCCTGGGGAGATCCCACGATCCACGACGGTTAAGCATTCGGGGTGGGAAGCCGGACACGCAAGGGTTTCTGTTCCAGCTCTGACTGCCCTCCATGTTGGGCCAGACACGTCACCTTCCCAATCTGCGCTGCCATCCGAAATGGGAGTAAAAATAGCACCTCCTCTGTGGGCTTGGCCCGGGCTCAGGCCGGACGGATGCAGGCTGTCCTGTGATGGCCGGACACAGGGGGGACCAGCCCCTCGGAGCTCAGACTCTTTCCCCTTCACTGAGCCGCAGGTTAGTTTTCGGGAGAACAACGGGCGCTCGCTTCCTACCCCCCACCCCCGTGTCACTGGTGAAAGGCAGGAATCGAATCCCCTAAGTACCACCCGCAAGCCTGTCCCCAACAGGCCACAAGTCAGCCTCAGCGCGCGGAAGGCGGGGGGAAGGCAGAGCCCTGGTCAGGCGATGAAACAGCAAAGCAGAGAATCACAGCACACCGCTCAGAGTCCAATATTGCTTCCGGAAACTTCTGTCTCACTTACACACCTGTGGGCTGGGTGTCCGACTGTGGGTGCTGGCCCCCTGTGCCGGGAGCCCCCCCAAACACATTCTCTGCTCCCTTGGCTCATTCTCTAGGCCTGAGCTGTAAACGGGCCATGTGGGCGCCTTCATTGTGTCATCATTTTCTTTGATTATTGGTTCTTTGGTTCATTGACGCTGGTCTCTCCGCACACGCTAGATCTGAGGAGTGGGTGCAGGGACCCTGGTTCCCCACTCGGGGAATCCCGCCGGCCCCTAACTGAGGGCCACTGGGGCCCACCTCACCTCGCCAGACCTGTTTCCTGGTCTACTCCTAGGCTGCCCCGTGAGGTCACCACGGAAGGGCTCGTCAGGCACACCAGCACCTGGGGCGCGCGTCCCCCCACCCCCCGCCGGGGAGAGGAGAGTCCCTGTGCCCGAGGACTGGGGTCCCCCAGCTCTGCAGCGGCCGGCACAGAGCCACGGTGAGGGGGGAGCGCCGATGGAGACCCCGCCGGAGAGGGGGCGCGCTGCCCGGTGGGGAGCCCTGTCGCGGCCTGGGACCGAGCTACGCGGTGAGGGGCCCGAGGGCCGGGTGAGGTCCGCAGCGGGGAAGCCTGGGGGGCGCGGCAGGGTTGCCTGGGGTCGCGGGAAGCAGGGAGGGACTTTCTAAAGGGGGAGGTTTGGAGCTTGTTCGGATGCTGGGTGGGTGGGGGGAGGCCTCGCCCTGGATGGGGGGCTGCACTGGAGGAGGGCGGGGGCCGGTGTAGCCTAGTCTGTCCCCTCCTCCAGGATCCTCCAGGGTCCAGAGTGCGGGGGGCGCGTTTGGGGAACGCAGAGCGAGGACTGGAGACAGAGACACACGGCGCGGGAGCGGGCACCTCGCGAGCGCACCGGGGAGACACCCCCCTCGGCGGGGCGCCGGGCCGCGGGGACAAAGGGGCGCGGCCCGAGGCATGAATGGGGCGGCCGGCCAATCGGAGGGCAGCATTCCCGCCGCGAGGGCGGGGGCCAATCGGATCCCGGGCGCGGCCGCGCTGCGGGGACACGGCCAATCAGCTACGAGGACGGGCCAGGGGGCGGGTCCGCGCGGAGTTTCAAACCGGCCGGGTGGGCGCGGAGCGGCCGTGCGGGGCGTGCGGGCGGCGCCGGGGGCTGTTGGGTGAGTGCATCCCGGGACTCGGTGGCCCTTCCGTTCCCACGGGACCCGGACGAGGCGGGGGGCTCGGGCAGGTCGGGCGCGCATGCGGGGCCGGCCGGGGATTGCAAGATGCGGATCGGGGGGTCCGCGCAGCGTTCGCGAAAGGGCCGCCGATGGGGCCCCGGCGCAGGGAGGCTCGGCGAGGGCCGGTCCGGACTCTGCCCGCCTCCCCGCTGGAGTCCGAGAGCCGAAAGGAGGCTGGAGGGAAAGACAGCTGTTGTAGACACCCGCAGACACACGGAGCGGCACGTCCCCCCTCCGCCCTCTTCTGGGCCTCGCTGACCCCTCTTCCGGGGAGCACCCTGCTTCCCGCACCCACGGCTGCCAAGGGCCTCCACGCCCAGCCCGGGCCGCCTGTGTGTCCGTGGGGCCTGGGGAGGTAAGGGGGATGCCTTGCTGACCTGCCCTTTGGTCTCCTCCCCAGGCTCTGGTGGGCTGAACAGACTCTTGCCCAGGCAGATGGCCTCCAAGCGGCCGGGCGTGGGGGCCTCGGTGCAGCCGAGATCGCTCCAGGACCAGCAACTGCTGGAGGGGAAGGAGGTGCTGCTGCGGGCCGCCTGCCATCCGGAGACCTCCGGGGGGGCCCTGGGCTCCCTGTGCAGACAGTTCCAGAGGAGGCTGCCCCTGAGAGCGGTCAGTCTCAACCTCAGCGCAGGGCCCTCCTGGAAACGCCTGGAAAGCCCCAAGCCAGGCCAGCAGGGCCTCCAGGCTGCGGCTCGCTCAGCGAAGAACGCCCTGGGTGCCGTGTCCCAGGTAAGGCGGGCGACGTCAACTGTCCCTTGGCTCAGGCTTCCGTGGTGCCAGACGGCTGAGGCCTCCAAGGGCCGCCGTGAGGAGGCAACCCCATGAGGACAGGTGCACTCTCCAGGGGAACCGAGCCCCACGACGCAAGACGATACAGCTGTGTTGTGGTAGGGTGGCAAGCAAGGGCGAAATGGGGGGACACCAAACACAGGAGGGCTTCCAGAGGAGGTGACTCCACGGAACCACCCAGGACAGGGGCAGTGGGAGGAGGTTGTAAGGCAAGCGAAATAGCCTGAGTCCAGATCCAGAGCTGGGGGACAGCGAGACGCAGAAGAGAAGTCTGGGTGTGGCCAGAGGGCAGAGAGCGAGGACGGGAAGGGCAGGGGTCCCCGGCTGGAGGTGTTTCTAGACTCTCCCAGGAGCGACTGGGAGCCAGGGGGAGGATTTTCAACAGGGTTGGAATCCGGCCGGATTAGCATATTAGTACTGTTCTTCAGCTAGGTGGTAGAGGGTGAGAAGCAGATTCACCTCCGAGGGGCCTGGGGGCCTGGCCTTGCAGAGGCTCAAAGGCAGGTCTGCAGGGATTCGCGTCAGGTGACAAGTGTGGAGTACCTGTGGGCTTTCCAGGTGAACAGGTCTTCAAACCCAAAAATGAGGGAAGGTGTCACCTAGGAGGGACAGAAGCCACAAGGATGGACCGACCCCCAAGGAAAGAATGGGGGTGGGTATCTCCTTGGGGTCTGACTGGGGATCTGAAATCCACAGACCCTCCGCTGAGAGGTCTCTGAGGCAAACGTCAGTCTCGTCTGTAGGAGCCCCAGGACGGTTTTATTCCCCGGGGCTCAGAGACGTGAAATGAGACGGTCCGCCCACGGCCACACCACACACCACATGGAACTTGGGTCTTAGTCTAACCTCTGGCCTCTGGCTCTGCCGGGCAGACGTTCTGGCTGAGAGGAGCCCAGGCGGGTCCGAGAGACCCCAGGGCTCAGGCTTGCCCCCGTAGGCAGTGAGGAGCCCCAGAGGGCTTCCGAGCCCTTGAGCGTCCTGAGAGCTGGCCCTGCAGAAGACTGCACCAGCGTGGACGGTGAACTGGTGTGTGAGACCAGAGGCGGGGCCTGGGGGGCAGGCCTGGGCTCTGGGCCTTGCTGGGAGAGCCGGGGTCGTTATGGGTCCCGGGAGAGGGTTTGGGCTTGGGTGAACGCGGACTCTGACCAGCGCACTCACTCCCCGGGTGGTTCTGGGGTGGCGGCTGCAGCAGGCCCGGTTCCCACAGACTCATCCTCCCCCGGGACCTGGGACCCGGAGCTGCCGGGGTCCGCAGGCCCGCTGGGGGGCCGAGGGGCGGGAGGTACAGCCGGGATACTTGGGAGTAGCGCCCGCTTGGCTTTGGTCCCTGCTCAGCTCTCCCTGTACCCGCCACAGAGAATCCAGGAGTCCTGCCACAGCGGCACCAAGTGGCTGGTGGAAACCCAGGTGAGAGCCAGGAGGAGGCGGAGGGGGGCACAGAAGAGTGCCCGGCTGTCTGGAGCTGCCCACGCCTACGTGGCCCTGGACCCGTGGGAGAGGGATGGTCACCAGCTCCCTGCCCACGGGGGCCCACGCGCCTACCCCCTGCGGCGGCCCAGGAGGGAGGCCGCCCTCCGCAGTCCCTACTCCTCGACAGAGCCCCTCTGCTCCCCCAGGTAAGGGGAGCAGTGCCTGGCGCCCCAACGCGAGCTGGGCCCCCTCCTGTGGCTGCCAGGGGCACCTGAGCTGCCGGTAGCCGTGCTCTGGCCCAGCTCTGCCCCAGCTGGCGGGGGGCCTGGGGGGGGGGTCCTCCAGGGCCTCAGTTTCCCTATCGGTCAAAGACGCGAGCCTCCCGGCGAGCCCAAAGCAAGTCTGAAAGCCCTCTGGAGGCCGAGGCTCAGGTTCCAAGGGGGCAACAGCAGGGCTGGCCTGTCTGCAAGGTCACCTGCCCTTGACCTTCTGGGCCTTGAGCTTTCTGTTCTGTGCCTGGCGCTCCAAGTGGCACCGATGTCACTTCCTGGGGGGAGGGGAGGGTCTGGGACAAGGTGTTCCCAGCTCCCCGGGCATCTCCCCGGCCCGCACGCCCGGCCCAGTGCCACTTGGAGGGGGGCTGGCTACAGGTTTCCGCGAGTCTCGGGGGCGGCTTTTCCTTGTTTCAGCGAGTCTGACGGTGACCTAGAGCCTGTGGGAGCAGGACTTCAGCGTCTCCAGCAGCTGTCCCAGGAGCCAGACGAGGCCATCGTGGCTGAGGAGAGGTGAGCCGGCATTTCTGGGGCCATCTTTGCCCCTGGGTCTGACCTGCTGTGTGACCCTGGCCTGCCCCTGCCCCTCTCTGGGCCTTCCTGGTGCCACGTTTGTCCATCACCTGGAACCCCCCCAGGCCAGGTACCTGCTTCCTGGAAGACCTGCCCTTCCTCCAACATTCCCCATGGCTCCCCGATTCCTGCCTGCCCGTGGAATTGGGAAGAGCTCCGTGGCTGCTAGGGAGTTTCTGGTCTGTGCTCAGGACCCCCTCCTGGAGGCAAGCCTCGGGTCTGCAGCTGCCCTAACGTGGGGCCAGTCCCCCGTCCATCCAGTGGCCACGGTGGGCTCCTGGGTGGGGCGCGGCCAGCTCTGGGGACGTGGCGGGAGGGCCCCTCGAGCCCGCGGCACCAACGGCATTGGTCCCTCCCGCCCTCCCACCTCTAGCGGCGACATGACCGTTTCTCTCATCCGAGACTGAGGAGGACGGTGCCTGCAGGTAATGCCTTCCTCCGAGCATCTTCCCTGGGCCCTCCTCCTCCTCCTCCTCCTCACGCACAAACATGTGCAAGAACGGAGTCTTTTCTGGAAAACCCCCCGGAGCTGACAGGCCCAGCAGGGTAGGAAGTGTGCGAGTCTCCCCTCGCCTGGAGCGAGAGCTGCTGACCTCACCGACCCCGTCAGTAGCTGAGCATACCGCCACCTCCTAGCTCCCGCCTCCGGGGGCACGACCGTGGGGCCCCCACGTCCCTGCTCTGAGCGCGGGGAGGGGGGCACGAAGGGAGCTGTGTATTTGCAGGAAGCGAGCCACATCTGACCACCACTCCCTCACACCAGGGCCCGTGTGTGCCCCCGAGCTCCCGAGCACTGCCCTCGGGCCCCTGCTAACAAGGGGCCTCTGCTCAGAACCGGCCACAGCTGGTTCTGCCCGCGACCGCCCGCCCCAGCCTGAGACTCACTGGGCCTGGAGACTCATGCCGCACTCGAGCTCCGTGGCGCGTCTACAGCGGGAAGCCCGGGCAGCAGAGATTCTGGGGAGCCCTGAGCCGTGCACCCAGGAGGGGGACCTGCGAGGAATCAGCCCCTGGGCGGCCCAGGGACCCCAGCTCCCGTCCCCGCGGCCCCCCCAGAGCCCCGAGACCCTGGGCCCACAGACCCCTACTTGCCGTCAGCACAGAGCGCTGTGGGTGTGCGGGAAGGAGTGGTACCGCTCAGTGGGGGCTTCTGCCCTCAGTAAATTATTTAAGAAACCCGCTTTGTCATTTTATTAGAAAGAAACCAGCGTGTGACTTCCCTGGAGATAACACTGCTTTTTCATAATAAAGACTCTGCTTCTGAGTGTGACTTCTGTTCTCTGTGTCTCACACTCACACACACTCACACACACACCAGTCAGGGCAGCGGGGCTGCAGCCCCCTTGTCCTCCCCGGGCCAAGCGGCCGGCCCCCAGCTCGGGGGGAGCACGAGGAGCAGGGACGGTCTCTCAGCTTCGCTCGGAACCAAGAACACCTTAAAGGCAAATAAGGTTTTTATTTAAGTGACAACATCCGAGAGTTAAAAACCAGCTCACGTCAAAATCAAGACCAGTTGTAAAAATCTTTTAGCTCCGTGACGCGGTGTGTGTCCTGTTAGAAACCTGGTATTTTACATTTTCTTCTCTAACGGATTTTGTACAAGGCAGCCATGAGGAGCAGGGTAAACCTTTCTTTGACCACAGAACCATCCACCACAAGTAATACTGAGAGTCACACATTTAGGAACAGCCAGACCACGGACAAGGTCAGACAGGCTGCCGCCATGGAGTAAACAAATAGGAAAGGACAGTGGGGTCCTGGGGTGGAGGCCCCTCGAGCGGGCTGCCTCCTGTCCTGCCCCTCGGTGTCACCTGCCGATCCTCGTCCCAGTGAGGGTGGGGTCCCACTGCGTTCCCTCCCGGCCCCAACGGCAGGACCCGGGCCAGGCCTCGCTACTGCTCGGGGACGTCACCCTAGCTGTGATTTTTAAGAAAGTGTCCCCAAGCCCAGAGGGAGGGGAAGGAGGGAGGGGTGGCTTCTTTTGGCTGAGCCAAAGAGAATAGGTTTCCAGAGCACTTGGCACCCAAACCCCCGGGATTCGGCGGGAAATTGGTTATTTAAGGCGGGGGCAAGCTGCGAGGCTCCGCCGCAGTCCGGGCGCCCCTCCGGAGCGGGGCGGCACCGAGGCTGGGGGGGGGGGCGTCCGAGCAGAACGAGTGCCACCCCCCCACCCGATGGGACTGGGTTTCTTTCAAAAACCGGCGCCCTGTTTTGCCTGCAGGACACGTCGGGGGCACAGACTCTGGGCTCCAAGGAGGTAAAAGGACCATCTCGAGACCGTGAGACCCAGCCTCCCCTCTTTCAGGGAGACCACGGCCCAGCAACCTCCGGAATGCGGGGTCCACACCTGCTCTTCCGCGGCCCGGCACCCAGACAGGAGGGCCGTTCATCCAAAAGGATGAAAAGAGTTGACTTTTTTAAATACGTGTTTTGTGGAGCCTAAGGGAGGAGTCGCGAGATCTTCCAGAGAAAACCCATGATGCCGGGAGAGCGGGCGCCAGCCAACGGTGCACCCCGAGCCCCCAACAGGGCGAGTGCAGACGAGGGGGGCAGGCAGCGCTCCGGCAAGCACAGCCCCGGATCGGGAAGAACAAACATGCCACACGAGAGACGAGGAGCTTTGGTCAGGCAGGTAGAGAGGTTCCCAGCCCCCAGGGAGCGGGCACACCGGGAACTGGAAGGATTCTCTAGAAAACAGCCAGACCGGGTCACGGAACTGCTCCGGGGAGAGGCAAGCCCCCTCCAGAGAACAGCACCACTGGGTGCTTTGTTTTTCTCGGCCTGGAGTGGACGGACACAACGGAACAAGCCACTGATAGGTACAGGAAGTGTGTTGGTTAGAGTCTCTGGGAGAGCCGAGGAGCCTCCCGCTGCCGAAACCCACCCCGCACGCGTCCCAGCTGAGGCTCCTGGGGGTCCCGCTCACCGCATCCCGCTGTACACCTTCAGCATCGCGGGCGTGGGTCCTCCGAGCTCCGGACAGCAAGGGGGTGGCCTCCGGCCGGGTGCCCCAGCCCAGCTCCAGAGCCCAGGCCCTGGAGCCCTGCTCACGGGACGCAGGTTCCCCTGCAGGGTCCCGGCGCTCTCTGTCTCCGTCTGTCTCTCTCAGGCTTCCGGCCTGGGGTTCGCAGAGCAGAGGAAGCCCAACTCAGGAAGAAGGAACTCCCACTAAGGACTTTATCACCTACATCAGCAGCTTCCGCGTAACATCAGAGAGGCAGGCCGTCTGCCCGCGCTCCGTCCAGAGCATATTCTGGAAAGGGTGGACGTGGCTAGGCCCTAAGCGCTGGCGCCTCATAGAGCGCCCCGCGGATGGAATGTGGAAGGAGGAGCGGCCCGTGCGAACCGGGAACCGCCAGGAGGCAGGGCCAGAGAAGGAGCAGCCCGGGACTCGGGCTCGGTGCCAACAGCCCTGCAGGTGGAGCGGGCCAGCCGGCCGTGCCGGAGAAGACGACTCACGTCCCAGAGAGCGCGGGCTGGGGGCTGGGAGCCCGGACCCCTCACCCCGGCCCCAGCAGGGCGCCCGCTTTGCCAGGCAATTCACAGAGCGGTCGCTGTCCGGGGAGAACGCGGGCCACGCAGGAGCTGTGAGAGGTAGACGCTGAGCGGAAGCGACACAGGGCTCACGTGGGTGCCTGTTGCGGATACAGAGGTCTGGGCTCTGGGGCAGCCCGGCCGGACGCAGCCCTGCTTGGAGGAGCTGAGCCAGCCTCGGGGACGGCCAGAGGGGGCCCAGAAGCAGGCCGCGGCAGCCCCCGGGGACAGCAGTGGGCCCGGCCGGACAGCAGTGGAGTGCAGGGACCCAGGCCCCCCAGCCAGGGGCTCACAGCAGGACAGTTCGGGCAGGCTCTGAGGGGCCCCCCACCCCGGGAGCCAAGCCCTGCCAACCTCAGGGGACGAGCCAGGGGGAGGGTAAGGGCACCAAACCCAGCGGAGTGGCAGGCAGAAGGGAAGAGAATACAACAGTTTGAGCCAAAATCACATGAACCCCCAGAATGCCGGGATGTCAACTCCGTGCCCTCCAGGAGCCAAGAGGGAGAATCAGTCTGAGCAGAGCTAGGGAGGGCGAGTCAGATCAGTGCCCTCTGGGGCGATGTCCCTGTTCCTGGGACGCCTGGTTCGGACATCAGTGCAAAGCAAACCGCCCCGGGGAGCAGGGACCCCTTCCCACCTTCCCATCCCCCTCCCTCCCCGCAAGGGCTTCCTGTGAACTGGTGGGGTGCTCGGAGCCCGCGAGGGGCCCCCAGAGCCCCCTCTCAGACTGCGTGCAACGTGCACCCTGGGCCTTCTGAGGGGCTCCTAGTGCAAGACAGCCCAGGAGTCAGAAACCCGCCCCCATCTCAGCGGGGAGACCCGTCCAATCCCATAAGCAAGACAGGGCCCAGAGAGAGCGAGCAGTGGGCTCACAGGCAGCCCAGCTGGGCCAGAGCCCAAGGCCGCAGCCTCACGGGGGAGGGCGCCAGGCAGGACCCCGGGAAGAGGAATGACTGTCCTCACGGGCCACGGGAGAATGGTGACAGTACCGAGGACAAGACGGGGACAATGGACAGCCGCAGGAGAACAGACCGTCAGCACCAGACCCCGCTCCCCCCAGGGCCGTGGACGGACACCGCGGACACAGGAGGACCCAGGGGATAGCCTCTCACTCCCAGAAGGTGGCCACTTGGCCCCAGGAAAGCCAGGAGGCCCAAGACGGCGACCCGGGGTGCCACAGGGAGGGCGGTGCAAATGCCGCTCGCCCCTCCGGCAGGAGCTGTGCCCGCCGGGGCCGCGGGTGCCCGGTCTGGGGGCTTCTCCCCTCCGGGCCTGCCTGGCACCTCCAAAGCCTCGGGGCCCCAGAAGGATGGTCGACTCCGCCCAACCCTCCCGCTCCGGCAGGCCCGCTCCCTGGCGTCGCACACGCCCCAGCGCTGACCCGGGCTTGCGGTCACGGGCCCCACACGGGGAGGCAGCCGCGGCTGCACACAGACCCTGGGCTCTACCCCCGGGCGCGGCTGGGTCCCTCCCCGCTCTGGTCGGACACTGCTGGACAGACACGGGAGGGAAAAAGCAGGAAAAGGCCTGTCTCGGGGAGAAGCAGCCCCCCTGGCCCACAGGCAGGGCCCCCCTGCTCTGCGCACAGCCCGGCCCTCAGGGCACCGACTCGAACTTGGGGGGCCCGCGCGCCCAGCTGAGCGCGGCCAGGGGCCGCTCGTGGTCCTTGTCGGACTCGGGCTGGCTCTGCGCCCGCTCGGGCTTGGGGTTGGCGGGCGGGTCGGGCTGCTGCACCGACATGGTCCTGCGCAGGTGGTTGCGCTTCCGCAGGAACTCGGGCTGGGCGTGCAGCCCGAAGCTGCCCTTGCGCAGGATCATGCGCGAGTTGTTCTTCTTGGGGCGCGAGCGGTGGCCGGCCTCCAGCGCCGCCAGGTGGGCCGCGTAGCCCTCGCTCAGGAACTGCCGGCGGGGGGCGGGGGGAGGCACAGGCGTCAGGCGGGAGGAAGAGCCGCGAGCTGCTGCCCCCACGCCTCCCGCGCCCGCCCTACCCGGGTCTCCAGCTGTGCCCTGGAGCCTGGCGGGATGGGGAGCTCAGGACCCAGAACAGCTCCCCGCCCACCTTGAACCTCTGAGCACGTCCATCCGCACCCCTGGGACGCACAGAGCTCTGGGTTCTTGACGGGGGATCCTTGTCCCTTGCCACCAAATCCCCCAAATGCAAGTTTGTCCCATCACCCAGCCCCTCCTCCACGGACTCCATCAGGTCCTGGCCCCCACGGCGGCCTTCCTGCCCATCGCCCCCCTGGGTCCTCACACCCTGCTCCCCAGAAAGGGGGTTGTGGACCAGCAGCAGCTACAGGACCTGGGCCCTGACAGGCAGGCTCTCCGGCCCCAGCCAGGCCTACAGATGTGACCAAGGCCCCAGGACACCTGGGCATCAGGGCCTGAGAAGCCCCGGGTCCCACTCTGGGGGGGCA